AACTGTCTACAGTTAGAAACAAATGCAGTCTGCAGTTAAAGCAATCTTAAGAAGTATTTAAAGAAGCTGTAAATGATATTTCCTACAGTTCTTGAAAGATCTAATGTATCAAAACTTTATAATCCCTTTCAGTTCGCCCCATCTCCTAGAGGGATTTAATTTTGCCACTCGATACACTGACTATTAAAGAACTGGAAATGCTTTCTACTGATTCATGGGGCTTACCTGCCTGTGTTGGCCATACTTTACTGCAGCTGAATCATTATTACTCTCTGACGTTGTTGCAGGCAAGCAGAACAGAGATCAGCTTCCCCAAGCAAAGCTGTTTATATACGTAGTCTGAGTTACTCGCCACCTCATCCACTAAAAAGTTCATAAATAATGATTAAATTATATACAATATCATAGAAGTGGGTCTTTATTCTTCCCACAAATAAATTACTTTTTTTTAAAAAAAAGTTAACAAAGTATAAAAAGTAATGCCCTAAGAAAACTACAGTGCTGTTATCATTCTGTATTGTCTTTGGATTGCTGCAGTAAAATATGTATTTCTTCAAAATACTGCTTCTTCCAACACTGTCTTGTACTGTCTTCATCAGAGACGGGAACTCCTTTGCACTCTAACTGCAGTTCCGTTTGAGCAGACATGTCCTTGAAATTCAAGGCAACTGTTGCATAATGTTCTGAGGGAAGAAAATATGGCATTATCAATAAAGTGGTTTTTAAAGGAATACAGTTGTTGTTGCTAATTTTGTATCTATCTGCTATTGCCTGTGTCTGAGCAAAGCCTATTTTCACAGATGGCAACTGGTTACTGACGTAAGTCTGTGTTCTTTGGAAAACAGCCTAAGTGAGCTTCCAGTTAACAAGGCTGTCAAGTGTCACATTTGTTCCTTCCTCTGCGAAGTGCAGCCTCTGTTAGAGGTCTCAGAAAGACTCACCATCAGGCCAGTTGCTACACCTCCACTTCCAGACAATTCTTTGGCTTGGGACCTGTAAGAAGATAAGAAGGTTCTCCCCATTACCATTTGAGATAATTCACATTATGACTACTCAGTTAATTCTCCCCTGAAAAATAAGGAGAGGAGCATTATCTTATATAATAGCAGATATGTGCATGTAAACAATACAAAGATTGGGTTTTGTTGGTGGGTTATTTTTAAACTCTTTTCATCCAGCTCTTTGCTCGCTACATTCCTGTTTTGTTTTCTCTATGGAAAAAGGGCAGGCTAATTAGTTACTGAATATAAAACACTGGTTTTCTTCCAGACCTTGAAATGGGCACAAGAGTCGTGTTTTCATCTCTGAAATTTCTCAGCAAGACATAGAATATGCATGTGATATTCTGTTAAGCAATCCAGCCTGCTTTTAATGTACAAGTTAGGCAGTATTGCATAAAAATTATTTACAGCCTGCCATCAGCACAGGTGACAAGAGGAGGTACTGCTTCAGCATATGCACATGCATTAAGCCAGCTGAAGTTTGGTGATTATGGTTCCTAAGATGTAGCTGTGGAGAAAACAGTTGGGGAGCATGTATATTTGCCCTGAATAGAAGAGAGATCACTTCTCCAGTTACAAGAAGAAGCGGTATGGATTAAACCTGCCTTCTCACTCCTCCTAATAAAAGAGGACGGTGCTGTGAGTTTCCTTCCCCAGTGCAGGTCATTAGGTGTAGTCAGTGTCTGCTCTTTTGATGGGGAAGAAAAATCTCACAATATACTATCAATTTTTTGGCTTTGTAGTAGAGGGACTGAATTAGAGAAATTGAAAGGTCAGAAACTTATGCTACTTTTTAGCTCAGAGAAGAAGCTGACACACCCACCCCCCATTTTTAGAGTCCAAAGTAGGAGCTTTTTACCAATTCTGCATATTCACCGCTGACGCAACCATCAAACATCTGAAGTTTGCCTCCTTTCTCAGCTTCAATCACAGCAGGACCTTTGGAAAACTTCTGTACCAGCTAGCAAAAAAAAAAGAATACAGCCCAAGTAAGTCAGTTAACCACAAATCTATAGCAATACATAATGCACCTTCTTATGAGACAAGGGAGGTTTGCTATAGAAATTAACTAAACTGTAATATACCTAAGAGTCTACACACTATCAGGCTTTACATTTTATACAGCACTGCACTGAGATCAGTGGTACCAGTGGGGGCCAATGAGGTGACAGAATGAGAATATAAATGCTGAGAAGCCTATAACGGTAAATGCAAAGACCAGTAAAGACTCTAACCATCTGCAACAGGCATTGAGAAAGCACATACACACAATGTATACTCTTCTGAAGGACACAAACCCAAAATTAATAATTTTATATTTTGTACCCCATAAGCAACAGTACTGTTGTATCCAATTGTCAATCTAATTAACCTGTAAGCTGTGCCTAACAACAGTGCCATTACTGAGCACTTCAGGCGCCTGATGACAAGTACTTACATTAAAAAAAGGAAAAGCTTTTTCTAACTAACAAAGGAGAGTGTGACTGAGCTGCAAACACACTACATGAAGATGCAGCTTCACTTTTTTTTTTTTTGTTGGCTTTTCTTCCTGTTAAGGTAACAACTGGCAAATAAAGGTCTAAGCCACCCTAATAAGTTCTCATTAAAAAGGTAAAAGTGGAATGATCCTACTGCCACCTTATAGTGCTTTCTGATTGCTATCGCAAGAACCTGACAACTTGCTGACACGGTCGGCTACCGCGCCTTTGTTCCTTGGCAGGAGACCAAACTGACACACTGCCTCCATCCTTTTGCATTTTCACCACTGAAATTCCTCAGTTGCTTAAAAGGTGAAGCTATTAAGCAAAACTTGAGGTGCAAATTATGACAATGAC